TGATTATTGTCAATTGCTCTGCTGCATCAGCAGAGTGCAGTGGGGGAGGTGCTGGTATGGCCCAGCAAGATGATCCCTGGCACACGCTTTCCATCCATCAATCCATCCATCCATCCATCCATCCATCCATCCATCCATCCATCCATCCACATCCATCCATCCAATCCACATCCATCCATCCATCCATCCATCCATCCATCCATCCATCCATCCATCCATCATCCATCCATCATCCATCCATCCATCCATCCATCATCCATCCATCCATCCACATCTATCCATCCATCATCCATCCATCCATCCATCCATCCATCCATCCATCCATCCACATCCATCCATCCATCCATCCATCCATCCACATCCATCCATCCATCCATCCATCCATCCATCCACATCCATCCATCCATCCATCCATCCATCCATCATCCATCCATCCATCATCCATCCATCCATCCATCCATCCATCCATCCATCCATCCATCTGCAGTTGGAGCTCCAGGCTCCTCTTCCCTTCCAAATTGTGGTTTCATTGTAACATTAAGAAGAGGTGGTGAGAATTATAAACAAAACAATTCACCTCTTTATTAAATGCTACAAAGCCATATAAAAATGATAATTGACAGCAAGATTTACCATTTGCTCATTTCTCCTTGGTATCAGTCTTAAAGCTTATCCTCATATCCTCATTTTATTTTTTTTCATTGTTGTAGGGAGCAATTAATTTAATCCTAGTATACGAACAACTAGTAGGATTTACAGAAACTACTTAGAATTTACATGTCTCATCATAGAGATTTTCCTAGGAAAAATAGAGAGATTATAATGTTTTGTACTAACTGACAGTAAATTTTATTTTTTTTTGTCAGTAACAAAACTACAGGAAAAAGAATTGGCCAGATAGCTGCATAAATTACACTCATCTTGTTAATTTATCTTTTCTTCTGTGGAACTTTTCAGTGGGAGCAACTGTACATAGATTTCATAGGCCAGAAAAAAAAAACCCCAGGAAAAGATAAATACCCCTCCTCCTATGCCCAAAACCTTATTAAGTTCATGTTGGTATATTTGATCCACAAGCCAAATGTTTCTTATCTTTTCAGATTTGTGTGATGAATTCTGTGGCCTTAGAGCCTTCTGTTCTTTTTTCCAGTTAAAACATTGGGATACTGTGGACTTCTATCATCTCTCTGCAGCAGAAAGTAATCATGCACACTATGTATCTTTCAAATATTCCATTTAAGTTATACAGAAAGGGAAGCAGTGAGCATTTCTTGCTTTCTTAATTGTATTCATGGATACAGATACAGGAGGTGTGTAGTATAAAGGCAATGAGTCAGTCTAACATGGGGTGTTGTAATTACAATTTTATTGAGAAATAAAACAGCCTGCCTCCTTTTAAAGGGATGCATTTTTGTAGCAATAGAAAGCAAGGCTTTGATATTAATATGTTGACTGCAGTTGTATAAATTGTTTCAACACTGGCTAGTAAAGCTAGAAAATATGCAATGAAGTTTGACCAAGAAAGCTTTTAAAGGAATGATGTGTCAGCAAAAAGATTTGCTCCTTGATTTATGTAAATTTTAATTATTAATTTTCAGCATAATTCTAGAAATACCTGTATTATTGCTTTTAAAAGTTTAGGATCATATGTGCAAGTTTAGTGTCTTATATATGCAAAAGAAAAACTAAGGAGTCTTGTTTTCTAAAATAGATGATGATGGCATAATTTTGTGGCCAGTTGGGAACTGTATCTCTGGATGTAGATAAAATCTGGTTTGGTCTTGAATGTATGCTTTAAAAATTGTCAGCCATGACATTTTGGCAGGTTACACTGTTGTGTGACGTGTGACAGAGAAGTCAGAACTGAGCAACTGGATTAAAAAAAACCCAACAAGACCCCAAACATTGAGGAGTTCTGTGCATGAAAAGATTATCATTTTTCAGCTGTTTTGTAGCATCACTAATGAAAAGTGAGATGCATTGATAAGTAAAAGTTCTGTAAGATGACTGTGCATTCTCAGCCAGAAGATCAGAACTTTCTGTGTCAAAGCTCTTTAAAAGCAGAGGAGCCAAACTCAGCAGAATCACATGAAAGACGTAAAATTGCTTTTTGTATTTTTTATTTGAAATCTGTCATTTTTGATGCAGTTTCTGCACATTTCCAATGTATTATTTATGATTTCATAGAGTACAAAGTATTTTTTATTACTCCTCATTGTATAAACTCTTTTTCCCATCTTGCAAAACATGTCTTGACAGGAATATTTTTGTAGCCCATAATTTGAATAAATTAATATATTTATGTATCAGCTGCTGTCTTAGGATCCAGTAGGGGTCAGTGGGTTGCACCATTTTCTCCCAAACCAGGAGAGTATTCTAATTAGGAATACTCCCTAGGAAAATGTTCTACCCTAATTTGTAGACTTAAGTCGTGCAAGTCATACTATGTATTGTCCTCACTGATAAGGATTCTGCAGTTTAGATTTGACATGAAATTAATACTCTTTTTTCTTTTGTCATTTGCAGTTCTTGTCAGGAATGATTTTATTTATTTTCCCCTACTAGAAAAAAAATCAAATAGCTTTGATCCAGTCATAGATATTTGATGCCTGTGAAAATTAGGAAAGGCGATTTATGAATATTTTAAAATTAAGCAGATAAACTGAGTTATGAAATTTATGCCATCTGTAGTAAAACTCATTACTTTTTCTAGGAATACTTTGGCAATTTTAATTGAGAGCCTTGCACAGATCTTGTATTCACCACATCAATTCAGCCACCTTTATCGATCAAGATTATAACCTCATTATTATTAATTCTGTTTGTTTGAGATCTGGTTTTCATAAAGGAGGAAAATGGAGTGTCAGCAATTATACCGCAATTCTTCACTGATTTTTTGATCATGCAATTGGTGGATTATCAGCACAGTGGTTTAGCAATTCAAGTAGTTTTTAGTTACCACAGTCCTCCTCACAGCTCTTGAAATATTCTTGAGTATTAGTAATTTATTCTGTTGGAACTTTTCAAGCATTCTAATATTTGCTGCAAATAAAAATTAATTATTCAAGTGCTTCAGCAAATTATTTTGATGCTTTTGAGACTACGTTTTGTGCAGAGAACAGAAGTCAATCTTTGTTTTACCATCTCATTACTTAAAACTGTGATCACTCCTGTTATGTCCCTCTTCTCCCACACTCATATATGGACAATTCATGATTCTGAAATACAGAAAATTGGTAAAAAAAAAATCCTCCATGATCACTGGAAGGAAGAACTGTGAGGAAACATTACTAAAATTTTAAAATTAAGTGTATTAAAATATTCTTTACTGTAAGAAGTTGGTAGAATTTATAAATGTATTGATTTTCAGCATTTAGCCAAGAATTTTTGATCAACTTCAAAGGTATAATTTTGCAATTTTTTAACAATTTTTTGCAATGTATTTGAATATTGAAGGACAGTAACTTAGATGCAAGTTGAATGTTATGTGGTACTTCCAAAAGTTTGTATAGATTTAAAATTTTTAGACAGAGGCACAAAATGGAAGAAATTAAACCTGCTAATTAAAGCCAGTATATCAAATCTTCCAGAATAACCTTAATGTTATTTAAAGGCACCTATACATACTAGATTTTGTGTTATTAAATAGAGATATGGCAATTTAAAAATTCAGGATTTACAGTCTCTCCATATTTTATCTTCTTGACATATTTGATTACAATTTAATGTACAATACAAAAATGTATTACAGGAATATTTTAACTGTTACAGTTATTCTCTTGTAGCACTAGAATGAGACACTGTTATTTAAAAAGAAATTACAGAAACAATCAAGATTATGGACAGAAAATTGAGCTTGGAATAAGATTTAGTGACCACCATATTTTGTAACTTTTATAAAGTCCTTGTTTGTATTGTGTTTCCTACTACTGATCTTTTCCAGGTGCTCATTATGGATCTCTTCAGGCAAGTAGAAGAGCCCTTTGAGGACAAAAAATGGTTAATTTCCTTGCACTCACTCAAGAGATATTTTTTAATATCATAAATTATAATTGGATGGCTGACACCTGGAATGAAAGTTTTACTTTATTTTGTATTAGTTTCAAGCTGAGGAAATACCTGTACATGTCTGGCAGTCTGTTTTTGTGAGGCTAATGCCTGGGTAATACAACACCTGGTATCTATTTGTTTTAGGTGTAATTTCATTTGTTGCTCAAGATGAGGACCAACAGCAGCCTCAAGGCAGCAGCTCACCACAGAAGACAGATGGTAAAAAGGCCCTTCAGAAACTGTCAGCAGGGACTCCACAAGCTCTTGATGCAGGTAACTTTGGTATGTTTGTTATTATGGATGCATATGTTGTCAATTTTTATAAAATTGTATCATAATGTGTTTTAAAATTAAATGACTATTTAGTATGCACAGCCTACAAACAATGTATGAAATTCTCCTTTTATGCCTTTTTGAAACATTTTTATGAAATGTGAAGCTGTTTTTTCCTTTTTTTTCTCCCCTCTTTTTACAACAATGTCACTGACTTGCTTCTTGTTGGAGAGGGTCAGAATGCTTTTAATGCTTTCTTTGTAGCTCTCCAGTAATAGTGATGGTGCTGATGTCAAAGCAAGCCTTTTCTGGACTTCATATCGCTCTACTTCTTTTCATTGTGAAAAATCTTTCTTATAACAGTGAGTCAGAGATAACTCCTTTGGTACAATGAAATCAGAAAGAGAAAATAACAGAATACCTACTTACTTTCATATTGTCACCATCTACTTTATTCTAAGCAGTATCTGCATTACTTTTGAGATTTCAGGTGTTCCAGAAGAATACTTCTGTGGTTACACCAAGTAGACAAAGCCAGATTTTTTGTGTTTTTAGATTATTTTCTCCTCTTTCTTATTTATGTTTGCAAGTTTAACTTTGCCTACAGAATCATGTTCTTTATCCTTTTAATACCCAATTTAGTATATATTTAAATTATCAAGCCTTTTTTTTTTAATGATTAAAGAATATTTCTTGCAAGGAAAGCCACCAAGGAAAGTTTTAAACTAAAAAAGTTGGTTTACTCAATATTGATTCTTAGGAAATCGAGAAGTTCTTCAAATTGGAGGTCTCTTTGTCTTTATGACTGTATTTTCTAGATAAATTGAAAGTAGAATTTATCAAGATATAAAAATAATTAGAAGCTAATTTTATCAATAAATTAGAAAAAAAAAAGTCAATTTGAATACCAGAAATTCTGTTCTTTTATAGTCTATTAATATCTGTACAGCAACAGGGAAGTTGGTTGACATTAAAACTCAGCATCTAATTGGAACTTTACAAAAGAAAGCTTTTAACAGAGATTAAATTAAGGTGATATATGCAGATAGTAGAGACAAGAATTATAAATTTCCAGATATTAAGTGGAATTAATAATAAAAACAATATAAAGGGTGATTCCAGGTAAACAGGAGATAACTTATAAACCTCTTCTGAAAGTCTGAGAATATTAATGAAGTTAGTTAAGCTGCAACTACCCAAATGAAACATTTCTTCTTATGAGGTATTTGCAAATTTAGGAATCATCAGTCCAAAACTAGCAGCACAGCCAAACACAAAGGATGTAACTGAAAGTAACTGAACATAGAAGGTTAAGCTGGAAAATAATTTAGGAGAGTGGATGTCTCAGTACTGTTCTTGTCACTGATGTGAGGATGCTGTTCATAGGTAGAAAATCCAATGTGTCTTCATGGTTTGCTGTTATCATTGCTGATAATAATTTTGCTCCATTTGACTCCCCAATGACAGTGTGTAAAGTACAATAGATTAATACAATAAAATATCAGTCTAATAACTTGCTGAGAGGAGCCAGGTAAGCAGCCCCAAATCATCTTCCTCTTCTGTTGCACGCTAATTTACATGGAAATAATCACTCCTACACAGAGAATCCCATTGGTAGCTGGAGCAGTCTGCACACCTTATTCCTATATGGCTGCCTCAAGTTATTTCATCTTCTCTTTAAGTTGCTATTTTTGTGCAACTGTAGTTTTATATCTTTGTCTTATTGTGACCTACGTGTTTCTAGTAAACTGTACTGACTCAAGCTGCAGGACTGCTGGCAATGTTTAGGGCATCATTAGGATTGCTTTCCTAAGTGGACTTAAAGTAGGATGTGACATGACCCTTCCCTAGTACTGTGTCACTTAATAAAAGGTTTTTTTCTTCTTCAGTGCAGTGGATATACCCTTACAATACTCACATCACAGGTTTCAATCTCACCTTTAAACCCACCAACTGCATTTAGTCATTTCACAAAACATTATCTGTCATCACAAGCGTTTACCTGTACCAGACATCTGTACCTTTTGCAGCTGGAGTAAAGTACCTGCTGAAAATAGCTAAATAGACACGGAATGCAGCAAGATCTGGTATAAAATACATGATAGTCCTCTTCTGAAATTACTTCAAAGAGGATCTAACAAAGTCTTAACTTTATCCTGCATAGTTTTCTTCTACACCAATATTTTTTGCAGCAGTTTTACATTAAAATTAATCATTGTATGACTTTTCATAGTAGAATGAAGGATGGATGTTTCCAAGATTTAGGATTTATGAATTGCAAAGTGAACACCAGTAGTAGAATGAATACCCCTTGCATTTGTCCAAAGGCATTACACAGCGAAGAAGTGAATTTTGAAAGTGAGAATCCCCAGAGCACTGGAACAGAAAATACTGGACTTCTGATGCAGAGAAAATACAGACTAAAATCAGTATAGTTCAAAACAAATACGAGGTTTTCCATAGCTGAGTAAGATTAGGAATAAACACATGTACACCAAAGTTTTGTGTCTTGCTGTTAGTCAGGGAAAATTATTCCTTTTAAACATAGTAGAAACTGCTACCTTGTTATGCACTCCTCAACATTCAATATCATCTCTGGGTACACATACATATGCATTATGTAGATATAGATATTATTATTTACCTTTTTCCTTTTTTTAATTTCTTCAAATTACATTGTAAGTAGGACTGCAGCAGCAGATGTTCATTTCTAGATGAGCTTTCATACATTCTTTTTATAATTTCCATCAAAATCACTCATTATGCTCTTCCAATTCTTCAGAATCTTAGGATTCTGAAATTTGTATTTTTCTTCTTTTTCAGTTGTATTAACAAAAAAGCACATTTTGTTCTTGCAGTAAAAAACACAGCAATTCCTCGTGACAAATCCTTTTAATGCTGCCTTGTACAAGAGGGGAAAAGAGAAAACAAACCAAAACCCAAGTAGAAAAATGTCTGCAGAGCAGATGTAGTGAGAGGGGCTTTCCCCTTTCCAAACTGGTGTGGGGCTTTAGTTCTTCCCAAGACATATTTCTGTCTTTGAAGAGAAGAGGTCCTAGGGTTTCTTTTCTCATGGGAACCAAAAGTAAAACAAGGCTAAGTGGTTGCTAAGACTGAAAGTAGAATGTTGCTTGTCTTTCATGTAAGATTGATCTTTAGATATTCCTATATTATAAAGTGCTAAAATCAGAAATAAATGTTAGCCATTAATAGGTATTTGTTTCACAGTCTCAATAAATGCTACACTCCTCCGGTAGCAGTGAAGCCTCCTAAACTCCCAAAGTAGAGGGAATTTTTCTGCTCTGGAGTTCATGGTAACTTCCTGAACTGAACTGGCTGAATGCTCCTGTGTTGTGCTCTTTTCTGTGCAGCCCTTGGGCCACAGGGAGGGTGCCTGGCTCAGCTCCTGCCAGTCCCACTCTGCTCCCCAGGAATCATCCCCTGGCACTGGGAGTCAAGTGTGAAGTTGCTGTGGTTTCTGCAGTGGCTAAAGCCTGCACTGCAACTGCAAATCCCCCTCTTGTCTTCCAGTATCCCTCACACTCAGCAGCAAGACTCAGCACAGACCTGGCATTTAAACAATAGCTTTTAATGTTCCTGCTGGCAGTGATGTCTCACAGCGTTTGTACAAGACTGGGCAGTTTTGTATGGGCTGTCTGTGGTGGCTGCCCGTTGCCTTTATCCAAAGCTTGTACTTCCCATTTTGTTTGTCTTAGGGAATGCATTTAGATTTTTGTGTCATTGCCAAATTTTTGAATTTCCTTGTACTTGAAAGGCTAAACATCCGAAAGATACACAACTTGTGAACAGGCCATGATGAAAAAGCACAGTCAGAGGGGCCAAGCCAGACATTCATTTTGGCAAAGCCTGGTTTAATTGTCTTTTTAAACCTAATTTATGCTTCAACCAGGCTTTCAATGACAGGCAATGTTTTCTAGCCTAAGCTGTCATTGCAGTTCTCATGAGATGTCTCTTATTTGAGTGTCTTTCCTGTTGAGTTTAAAAACTGCTTCCTAGTGACTCTTCAAGCAACTGATGCCTTTGGAAGGTAACAGTGCTTGCACATGTGCTTCTGGACTTTCAGGCTTGAAATCAATCCCTGAGGGCTGAACATCTGTGGGAGCATTATGAGATATTCATATAAGGAAAATAGTAAAATAATGTCTTTTTCTAGCAACTCTTGAAGTGATTACAGAGTAGCAATTGTCGAAGTGATTAAGAAGCAAACAGTACTCAGGATGGCAAAAATATTAAAAGTTTAGCATTTTTTCATTATAATTTTTTAAAACACTCATAAGAATTGAGTATGTGATGGTAAATGGTAGGATTTATTCAGTATTAATGCAGTAAGATATTTCACATACCTTCAATATATTAAAATATAATTGATACATCTCACGTGCATATTTATTTCTGGAGTTAATGTATTTTTAAGAGGACTTTTCTTTAAAATCAATTTGAGTTACGAGCCCATAAATTTTGACTGGGTAGTTAAGCAATTTTTCAGTCCAATCTATATTCTGTATGTTCATGCATGGTGTGTTCCAGCTTCAGATTAATTTAAGTCTCCCTCTTCAGGGAAAAAATAAAGACCTACACAGACAAAATAATCCCTGTGTAAATTGCATGCATATTTGCAAATTTAAGATACCAAGCACAGCTGGGTTTGTTTGTGGGGTTTTTTGTTGGTTTTGTTTTTTGTTTTGTTTGTTTGTTTGTTTTTCTGTGGTTTTTTAATAGAATTTTTGCATCTATAGCTATACTTATGCCAATGAATACAAGCTTTGGGGAACGGTATAGCATATGTAGAACATTAAGTATTAGACTGTTTTATGATTTTTTCCTTTGTTAAAGAGATTGTTCAGTTATTGCTAGCTTTCTCAGTAGGTTCCCTCCTGCAGAACTGCAGTCTGCTGGATGTTAGGAATTTTCCTGTGCCCTTTTGTGACTCAGAACAGCTTGATTCTCCCAATAAACTAACAAGTTGTTCTGAGACAATTCACATATAG